TCTATTTTCCTACTTATGAAAGGAGAAGATCACATTCTGCGTTCAAATGTCTTGGTCAAGCAAACTGTTGGTGCTTCTGGCTCTCCCCACCAACCATCGCAAGGTGAGGGAGTTATTTGCTGAGATCATTTTGATAATCCCACATTCATCACGGATATTTTGCTGTGCAAACAGGTCCCATCACTCCTGCTGCATAGAAAACAAAGCGCAAACTCCTCAACCACGCTTTACAGTGCCCAGAGCCCTACTCCACTCCCCCTGTTCAGCTTCCCCTGCTGTCCTGAGTGCCCAGCTAGTCTTTCCAGCATCTAGAACTCCAGCTGGGCCCTCTTTGTCATTTCCAATGATGCAATTTGACTTAATCCAACATTTACTGAACACCTACCCAAAGAGAGCTAAGTGAGGGCTATAAAGACAGGCTAGTCACTGTCACTTTTCTTCAGACATGTACCATCTAGAAGAAGAGGTGGGAACCCGCTCCACATAAATAAAATGCCAAGGAGAATGTGATAAGCACTCTTCTGGCAGCAACCTGAAGAGCTGGATTTATTTTCACAGTGAGGACTGAAACAGAAAGGACGGATAAAAGAAGCATATTGTAACTTGAGCTTTGAAAGATGAGAATTTCAAAAGGGAGCAGAGAGTGGAGAATTTCAAAAGGTGGTTTGGAGGAGCCTGCAGCAGGAATCGCCTAAGGGTGTATGGATGCAGAAGGGCTGGGAGCCGGTGCTTCCCTCTGGAGGTAACAGCGGGGCATGACAACAGGTAGCCCGCAGGCCACAGCCAACCACCCGCAACTTACCTCTTGTCTGTGGTGTTTCAAAAAAATTAAAATCAACAACATTAAACAAAATAGACTTTTAGATACAAATGTGGATTTCTAGCTCCCTGTGGAAAAATCTGGAAAATCCTGTTCTCCCAGGCTTACTGAGTGAGCATAAGCAGAATAACAACAGGGTAGCAGGGGCCTTCTAGACAGGATAAATGCCCCCAGTTTCCTGCAGTCGCCACCACTCCTACCTACACTGGGCCTGCTTCACCTGTTTGCATTACCCGTCTGGGTGCCAGGACCCCTGAGCTTGTGAGCCCACTGTGGGAGGGGAGAAGGGAGGGGGATGGACATGTGCACTGGCCACTCACTATCTATGTGAGGTTGAACACGCTCCATCGTTTCAGTTTCCTTGTTTGTAAAATGGAGCTATTATCACCAACCTCAGTTTTGTTGTGCGGGTGAAATTAGATGATCTAACATTTAGCACAGTGCTTAGTGCATACGTGTTTAATCAATGGTGGCTGCTACTGCCAGAACTATTACAGAAAAGCGCCTCTTTCAGAGCCACAAACTGCCACAGTGTTGTACACGGGACACAGGTGTAAGGTATAAAGTGTAAGTGACTTGGCTCTTCCATGTGGTGAGATCCTCACCTGACTCTGCTCTGATGTCACGGTTTACAGCATTAGAAACAGAGAAACAGTGACGACACTCCCCCCAATCCATATGTGCGTGCACACACACACACACACACACACACACACACGCATGCACGCGCGCGCGCTAGCATGCTAATGCAGGGATTAAAATATCCAAATTGAAACAGATTGCTTGTTTTTATTCCATTTTCTGACAATTTTCCTTTCATATAACCAATTGAAAGATACGCAAATCATCATTACATCGGGGGCTGCCACGAAAGCCGAGGCTTACTACAAAACCAAAGAAACGGGCCTCCCATGAATGGGTGGCACAGCTTTCATGTCTCAGAGACTGGGGAGGAGTTTGAGACTTTTGGAATATCCGCCATAAGCCTGCCAGACAGCAGGTTAAATCTAGAAGATCATCTGACTGACATAGAACTGAGCCATTTTTCCTGAGCGTGAATTAAACAGATGGTTGCACCTTAACCGCTTTTCCAGAGTCTCCTAGGGAACAGCTTCGATGCTATAATTTTGCTAAGTAAAGTGACTAGAGTTTTGTGCTCATGCATCCGACAGTGAGCACTGTACATCTACCAAGCCCAAATGGGCCACTGAATGGCCATAACACCCCATAACAAAGTTCCCTCGATTATCAATCGTAAGGACTAACTTACCTCAAAGAGTAGACAGCATGGAGAACATGTACATTCCCAAATAATATTCTATACGTATAACAGCAAACATGTGTATTATTTTATCTTATCTTTGAAGCACAAGAAAGACAAGATATGCATAGCAATGTGTCGTTCTTTCCTAGAACTCTAAGGACCAACACCCTCTCAAATACCACTGGAGAAAGAGGAGGTAGTCAAAGACCTAGAACTTCACATGTGAGACTAGTGTACCAAGACCTTGCCTACTGGAACATTCACAAACAAGAAATATTGGAGATGACTTAGGGGCATTACATCAAGTTTTCTTTAGGGGTAAAATGGCTTTTATAAAACTTGAACATTTTTCTCTTTATGGAAGCTCAGTAATTAATTCAGTTGCCATCTTGCCAGAAACAGGGTCTTCAGGGATCACCTGCTGATTTTTGCTGCCCAGCATCCATCACCCTACTTCAAATTTCCCGTGGAGAGCCATCCCCATTCATCCTCAGAGAGGACCTACAGTGCAGCTCTGCGTATGTGAGTAAGCCATGTGCTTACCCATCTTAGTGACTGTGCTCAGGGTATGGGGCTCAGGTCGAACCAATCAGACACAAAGAGATTTTCATTAGGCCTTAAGTGAACGAAGCACGTTGTCCCTGTTGGACTTGAATGAGAGAAGACATAGGTCTGGGACAGCAAAGCCATCATTTGACCACAGGGTGATATGTGTTTTGAGAGTAGTGTCAAAACAGAGGAACAGGAGAGCAACAGGGATAGATAAACCACATCCTGATGACTCCATCGAACCTCCTTATCTACACACTTCTGAGGGCAGACAGACCCAAGGCTTCTCAGTTACACGACCCCAAAATTTCCACTTTGATTAAACCTGTCTGAGATGGGTTTCTCCCATGTGTAACAGAAAGGGGCCTAACTGTTCTATGGACATAAAAAGGCACTTAGGAAAGGTCCTGGTATTCTGAGACTGTCCACTAAGCCTCATGCCCAGAGGAAAGCCCAGCATAAACATACACAGCACCTCCCAGCCCAACACCCTCAAAGTGTCCCAACCCAACCTCACCAAAGCCACTTCCCTAGGACTGAATGCATTGTGGCAAACCTCAGTCCAGGCAACTGTGGAAATGGAGGGCTGGTTAACTATAAAAGAGCTCTAATCTGGAAAGGAAATGCAGAGGAAATGAAAGAAAGCAGGAGTTGAAGGAAATTTAATAAAGAAAGAAATTAAGGGGAGAAAGCAAGTTAATGGGTGGCTTTCAGTGAGGCACTGTCTAAGGAACTGAAGCTTACTGAAAACCCCATGAGCTTTCTCTCTGATGCTTACTTGCACACCGTATATTTTTAGTTTTGTAATGCTTGATATATGACCTTATTCTAAATGGCATTACTGGCAAATGCAGTTAAAGTATTTATACCTAGGGGAAAAGTGAGGTACATTTATCCTAGGGGGGAAAAAAACCCCCAAAACCCAAAATTTTTTTTTCTTTTGGGATTAAATTAGGGGGTTGTTTTTTATTTTAATTTTGGTTTGGAACCCTTCCACTTTTAGCTGGGGATTGCAAAATAATATGACAGTTTTCAAAGCTGTGGTCTCATGAAATTAAATATTTTGCCATCTTAGATGACTAAACGCATCAAACCGTCATAACAGAATGTCCTGGAAGTCAGAGCCGAGATGTGAACAGCAAATCCCCCTCTCCCCTCAGGTTTCCATTTGCATAGGGACTGTATGCTTTTTGGCTGGAGAAGAAGTTTAGTGTCTGTTTTGACTGGTGCCCAGATACCTGAGGGAGAAGAAGGAAGAGTGGAAGGTAGGAGATGGAGAACGTGCCCATGTCCTCACAGGAGCGACTGTGGGCACTGGCAGGCTGCTCTGGGGCAGAGCCCAGGAGGGACTGCGTGGCCACGGGGAGCCATCATCTGCAGTTCCCACCAGACCTACCGGAACAGCAGACACAGCGTTCCCAAGCAGGTAAGCAGCGGTGGTGGCACTAATGAGAGAACGCCCTAAGAGACACATAATCCCATTCCACCTGGAGGCCAGAATGCAGCCTTTGTTCTAGGCACACAGGAGCCTCCCCCTAAATTTCCCACACACCCCTGGGAAGGAGAATTTAAACTGAGAAGAAACGCCAGGTCACAGAATCGGGAATTAAAGTTCCTATAAGTTCCTTTACACTCTTCAGTGTGGAGCCCTAGACATTCCAGTTATACCTCAAAGTCTCCCCTAGGCCTTCAAATATACCCACAACTCTGAAGAAATGCACATGAAAAATTTACTTCCACACTTACAGCAAGCAACTGAGACATGGCCGTGTATGGATTATCCACAAAGAATCTTGAAGCCCAGGACAATCGATGAATTCAGTCTGCCACTGACAAGACTTACAACTCACCCAACGCACCACTGATTGGTATATCCAAATGTGCGAGCTAACTAAATATCAACTAAATCAATGAATGAAATAAGAACATAATTAAGAAAGTTATTCAATGCATTCTGAAGTAAAACAGAAAAGATATTTGGAATATCTATCTGTGAACCAGTTTGCTTTCATTACTGTGAATGAGAACTAAACACATTTCTAGCCCACTCCTTGGGACAAATTTAATCATGTGCTTGAGAACTGTATCATCTTTCCTGAAGGAAGCACTTTTATGTCTATATAGGGTTCCTCTCCATTTATACCTACATGTTATATTCATTTTTGGAAGTGGTGGTAATGAAAACGGTTCCATTTATTTTTCATTATTCTATAATCTCAGAGTTTCTTTTTCTTTCACACAAAACCACATGCATTGACACCTATGAAGAGATTAACACGTTTCTTTAACACCAGCTCCTCACTTCATTTTCAATCAGAATCAGTTGTGTGCGACAGCCCCCACACCTGGAAACAAAGCTCTACTCACCGTGCCTGAGAGAGACAGTCACAATTTGATGGAGGATGTTGTAAAGGGCCTTCTTTCTGATTTCCAGACCTCAAATAACAGGATCTGATTTCCCCTGTGAAATCATGAAATTTCAGGAAAGAATATTACACATTATTTGTACACAATCATTTCAGATTATGACATTTCCAAGTTAAAAAGGGACTTATTTTGTACTGATCTAATAATAATTGTGGAGACTCTAGGTCCATTCTTCACATTTCTCCATAGAATGTGCATCATGAAAACATGAAGGATGCATGAAAGAATCTTTACTAAGAAAATTTTTCTTGACATACCTCCCTGATAATATACTTGGATAAGTTTTGACTCATTTATTGCTTGATTGCTTTTGATTGATTTATTTGTATCATCTCTTAAAGCACCTTTTATATATTGTCTTCATGTGTCAGCATGATCTGTGTTGGGCTGCACTGGGTGTTTTTTAATACACATATACATCAGTACTATGTGCAAAAAGAGGCTTATTAAGCACGCACTTTGACTGGTGGACCACGTGAGACCATCCCTACCTTGAAATATGCAGATGACCAAGTGCCATAGCACACTGACTGATGTGTGGGAAAACAAGGGGTGGAATTAATTTGCACAGTTAAATTAGCTCTACTAAAGCAGTTCAGGGTATTGAGGTGTGAAAATCAGTTCCCTTTCTAATGTAAATGATCTCTGCCAGGAAGAATTCTAAGGAGTACCTTCTTCCGGGTGACATAGGAAGCATAATTAACCTTGTCTGTTGTGAGCAGCTGGAAGGTTGCCTTCAACTCACAGGTATCTTCCACCAAGAGAATCTTTAACAGCAACCACAGCCCTTCTGGAGGCTTTGATATAAGTGCTAATGTTGTTCTTCATAATGTACAAGTTTCTTTGTATTTCTGCAGATGCAGAAGCACTTAAAACTATAAACTACTGAACCCCAGATAAGATACCATATAATTTATTATCCAAATCAGAATCCTTTTGAGAGAAAAATAACAAGCATGACCCATCCCAAGAAAAACTAGGACCTATATCCCTTTATCCCTTGTCTTTGGAACCTTGAACTTGCCACTTAATAATTTTCTATGTACACTATTTTAAATCCTTTTTATAACAAGGCACTGAAAAAATATATGAAGGTCAGATTTTCAGCATATATCCAACAAATATTTACTGAGTACTGGGCATTGCCCTCTTGAAGTTTACAATTGTGAGGGGGAAATGCCATTAATTAAATTATAAATAGATATATAATTACGAATTATAATAGTGTCAAAGAAGGAAAAGGACAGGGTATTAAGAGAACAAACAAAGTAGGTGAACGTGATTAAGCCTGGGGAGTCCAAGAAAGGTTTTCCCCAAAAACTAACCTTAGAACTGAGACCTGAACGATAAATAGCACATTGCAGACATTGGGGGTGCAGCACATGCAAAGGCCCTGAGGCAGGAGGGAGCACACTCTGTTCTAAAAGCATTACGTGGGCAATCACAGGGCTAAGTCTTCCTGTTTCAAAGTCTAGTTCTCAGGCTAAGAGACCATGCCAAATCCTGAGGAAGCTGACAGTTTCCCCCTACTTGCTCATTAGTAAAATGCTCTAAAGACTCACCATGTTCATCAATGAAGACATGCATGGCATCCACAGACATCTCCTCTTGCACAGATGTTTCAGGCCCACTGATGACTTGCAAGACGGAACTGTCTTGTTGGGAAGTTACCCTGTAGATTATTTGTCTTTGTCTATTGCCCTGGAAACTAAACGTACATAAAAGTTTCAAAAAATGATTAGGAGTTCCTCCTTATCCTTAATAAAACATGAAAAGAAGCAGCCAGCAAATGAGGCTGTCTCATGCTTTTCACCCCAGTGAAGCTAAACGAGTAGGTTATCCTTACAAGGCAGGGGTCTTGGCAGGCTGAGTGAACACGGGGCTGGTCCCAGTACGGTCTTGACTTTGTAAGTCTGGTTTTCCTTGCTTGGAATTTTGTCCAGGGGGCTTTTCACTTTCCAGGATTTCTTCCTTTTTCTCCTGGGAACAATTATCTGGAAAACATTATGTGTTAATATAATATTAAATAAAAAAATTAATGTGAATGCTCTTGGAAATAAGTTACAAAAAGTGAAACAAGAATAGAAAGAAAATCTAAATAGCTCCTCTGAATGCAAAATGTTTTTAAATAAGTTTTCATTTTACTAATTATGAAAGTACCTAAATTTATTTGAAAAACAGAAGGGTATATGTTTGAGCCATGTTATTCGAGCATCTCCAAATACCAACTACTTTACCTACGGATTCAAGGACTCCTTAAAATAACTCAGTGACCACAGACTTACCTGGTTGAAAATCACCCATTTAGATTACATAGGCCTGAAAGGCTCATAACTCAATGGATCACCTCAGATGAAAGAAAAATTATATAAACAACCCTGGCTATTTTGGAGCAAGGTCTCATTTACCATTTTTATATCTTATCAGTCTTTCTTCTCACTCAGTCTCCAAATCTAAATTTTCAAGGTAAAGGTAGAATTGGTCCGTTCATAAAGCAGATACTTGTTAAGTTCATCTGATTTTGAACTGTATCGCTTAGCACTATGGAAGACACAGTGAGATGCAAGACCTATTCCTTGCCCTGAGAATACTTTAAGGTGAATGAGAATTCCAAGATCAATAGGTACAGATTGGGTTATTTTACTTTTTTAGAATCCTCTTTAAACAATGTACCAAAACAAGTGTCTTAGCTTATACCATTATGCAAAATGGAACATGTCCCTGAGGGTCGCCCTTTCCTTTTCTGCTGACTGCGGACATACTCCAACAGCCATTAAGGTCAAGGGGACCATTGTATTCCCATGACCTACTGAGTGGTCTAAACCTATGGCCCTTTCAAGACATACCATTAAGAAAGTCCATGAAGATCTGCTTAAGTCCTTAGAAAGTGAAATTGTGTTAGTGGCGGAGGGTAGGGAGGTATAAATCACAGCACTGCAGGGTATAGAACAAAGGTTTTCATCCTTAGTCTTCAAGTAATTAGAGGAACACTGCTGACTTCTATGTGAGTCCTGAAGATGAACATTCCCAGCACATCTGTGAAACTACTGTAAGAATTCCTTTGGTACAAAAATGTTTGCATTTCATTTGACAACTTGTCAAGATAGAAGTTTTCAAGTTTTCAAGAAACACGTTTATAAGAAAGTGCTATCATAACACGTAGCTTTACCCAGTGATCATGCCTCATAAAAAAATCACAGAAAGACACATTTACACACTCTCCTCCTCCACACTGCACATAATTGGATTCATTTGTTCATATCTCTTTACCATATCTTAGTCTCCTCTACTCTTAAATGGATACATTATATAAGTCAACATATGGCCTATTTTTTCCTTTTTCCTTTAAAAAATACATTTATAGGAATTTTTCTGTTTATAAAAATAGGACACATTCATGGTACATAATTTAAAACTAAACAAAAGAAAAAAATTTAAATCACTCTTAATCCTGCTATCCTGATGTTACCACTGTAGCCAATTTGATACATATCACACTAGATACATACACGTTTTTTACAAAAATTAAGCCATGATACAGATGTTGTTTTATGCCTATCATAGTTATCTTAAGGTATTATAAATATTTATTGTCATTAGACATTCTTCTACATTACCCAAAAATAGTAGTAATATAATATTACATTGATACAGTATAATTTATTTAAAAGGACCCCATTGTGGTAAATTTAGGTCATTTCAATTTTTCACATCATAGATAATTCTTCAATAAGCATCTCTACACACATTCATGATTATTTCCTTAGGAATTTCTAGAAGTTGAGACTGAATACACAAATGGACAATGGTGAGATAATATACATAAACAAAGAACCCTGACCAACAATCTGAAGCAACCAGCCAAGGAAACTAACCCATTATCTATAGTAACCAGCCCAGGAATCAACACATCATGTACAAGTCACGCTTGTAGGAAGTCAGACCAGTATTTCTGACAAACAATCCAGGAAGTCAAACAGTAATAACCCCTTTGATAATTAGCCCCAGATGGCCAGGACTTGATTCAAACTGACAGCTTCCCTAATTTTTGTCCCTGCTTCCAACCAAAGAAAGCCAAATACGGTCCCCACTTCCAGTTGGCCACCTCCAGCTTCCCTATGCCAATAACCTGCAGTTAGGGCACACCTGAAGCCTCCCCTTTTTTTCACTATGAAGCTTTCCCACTCTGCCTGCCTTTAAGTCTCTACCAAAGCCAAGTGATGGTGTCTGACTCCTTTGCTATAGCAAGCTGTAAATAATAGCCTTTGCTTGTTCTCATTTGGGAAATCTTCATTTATTTCCACAAAGTAAAATAAAGCTGTATCAAACAAAAAAAATCCAAATAAACATGGTTTTAAATGGTTTTGATAAGTATGTGATTTTCCATAGCCTTGAATTTTAGGATTTCCCAAGACCTGAGGATAATCCAGAAGTTCTTAGTGAAGATAACCTACGTTGGAAATAAGAGTACCTTACAGGGAACTGGAAATCATATATCTTTTTCCAATCATTGTCCAAGCTCAAGCACTGTCCTACCATCAGGCAGGAAAAAGATTAGAGAACATTCCCTAGGCTGCTAATATCATTGAACACTGTCATGTGGTTTTATAAATACACTCCAATATTGGGTTTACAATAACAAATTCTTCTTTAGTGAAAGAAGAACAAGAAGATACTACCAATCACAAAAATACAAGGTACCACAGAAAAACGTCTAATTTGCCACCTTTGGTGCTGATATCCTTCTAAGAACTAAAAAGTCTTATTGTAGTCCTTATCTTTCTTCCTTCTGTTCTTTTCTGAAAGAGGCGTATAATCCACTCCATCTCCTCTCTCCCTGCCATAGCGCCACATTCTTGACAACCAAGCCCACTCCTTCCCATAGAATAGCTCACAGCAGCCGTATTTCCCTGCACGCCCTCTCGCCTTCCATTTTAACGTCGTTTTGATTGAATGTGGCTGGCTGAAAAATTTCAGAAGAGTAGAAATTCAAGTAGACAAACCAAATAAATTTTACATATGGCCTGAGGTGAAAATAAAAGACTGAGATTGATCAAACAGCAAGACTTTTCACATATTCTCCTAATTGAATCTTCGGAGTAAATCTGTAACATATTGTTATTCCTACTTTATAGAAGAAACTCCGACGCAAATGGATTTAGTGAATCGTCCAACCTCACCCAGGTATTGGTATTACAGAACCAAACTTTCGCCCTGGGCTATCTGGTTCCAAAGCCAGTGCTCTGACCACATGCTGCTTCTGGGAAAACTCTTGTGTCCGCTGGATTAGTACTGTCCAGTACAGTAGCCAGTAGCTACTGTAAATGAATTAAATGAATTAAAATTTAATTAAATTAAAAATGCAGTCCCTCAGCTGCATAATTCCCATTTCAAGTATTTAATAACCAGATGTGGCCAATGGCTACCATATTGGACTGTAGTAGATATGGAATATTTCCATCACTGCAGAAAAAGTTCTATAGATAGTGTGGGTCTACAGGTACAACTCTTTATATTGAATAGATGATGAACACTCAAATCTTATCTCAGAAAGGTTTTTTCTCAAAGTTACTCCTGCTTTTATGTACTGGCTATGTCTGTTAAAAAGTTTAACTGAATCAGATGAATTGTTCAGAGGGGCCAAAATGTAGCTAGGAGAGCCCCTGGCTGTCCCAGAAAGCAGAGGAATAATCCTAGCACTGAGAAATGCTACAATCTACAGCACAGAAAATGAGCCACTATGTGCAACCACAACTTCCAGTAAGCAATCCTACTATATAGACACTACTTAACACAGACACACACACACACATATATATGTGTGTGTGTGTGTATGTGTGTGCGATGTATTCAAAAATCACTGAAACAGAAATTTGAAACCAAAACACTTTATAAAAACTCTAGTCCAGTAACATCATTTTGTTGATAAGCAAACTGAGGCCCAAAGATAGTAACTGAAAATAATATAGCAAATATTAGTTTAACTTTTTTGAGGAGGGATTCTGGAACAAGATTGACTGGAATCAAATCTCAAGTTCTGACACTTCCCGAACTTACTAGACTTGTGAAAGTTACTGAAAACCTACGTGCCTCATCTGCAGAATAGGAATGCTGAGTGTATCTACACCATAAGGTTATAAGGTTATATGAGGAGTGAGTTAATATGAGGGTAACTGTATTCTTTATCATTTAAACTGGGGACACTTTTGAAAGAGAAAGTCAGTGTTGTTAATAATTATGTTGGCAAAACAAGTGTAAATGAGGATCCTTCCAGTCGAATCATGAGTTACAGTCCCCCTAGTTAATACACATAAAGTATTTGGAACACTGCCTGGCATAGATCAAGAGCTGTAGCAGTGTTTGTTATTCTCATGTGTACAGCAGGGGATCATTAGGGAACTCTGTATTTTATATTGGAACTCAGCAGAAAAAGGAGATTCGCTACTAACAAAAATTTGCTTCATGATCAGCTTTCCCAAAATGTATCTATTCTATAAAGCAAAACACATCTATTACAAGTTACTTGTCACTGTACTAAAATATAACTGCTTATTTTTCTGGAAATAAATATTCTTGCCTTCTAGAGAAGCCAAAAACTCTTTATCATGCCTTAAGTTTCCTGGTAGAGTAAGGCAATATATGTATATATGCTCATCACAGAGATTAGTATTGGCACATTCAGCAAATATCAAGAAAGCCAAGCAACAAACGATTGCCCAATAGTTGTCCCACTATTTGCATATTTAAATCATAAAAGGCAATTGACAAAGAGATATACTGCCTTCTGTGTCATCCTCAGAACAGAACTAATGTGGAATCGCACCTTGGAGAAGCCCACTTTCCTCCTTCTGCTCTGCTGAGCCATTTGATGGATTGGACGCCACCACCTTGGAAGTATTAATTGATTCTAACAGGGAGACAAATTCCAAGAAGTTGGACTCGTTTGGTATTTGTCCTTCCTTAGCCTCTAGGTCAGATTTGGAAGTTGGCATTGTTTTCTCTTTATCATTAATAATTTCTGCAGAACTTTTACTCAGGAAGACATCTGTCCCACTATCCACACTGAGCACGCGGGCATGTCTCTTTTCATGGCTGTTCTTACAAGACGATGGGTCAAGGTTAGCCTGGCCTTCCTTCCCCATCTCAGACTCGGAGGCCACAGCAGGTGTGAGTGGGGGTGCTGTTTCCCGGGGGTTCTGTGAGGAAGGACTGCAGTCCTTGGTGGCACTTTCCCGCACCCCAGATCTGTAGCTGGAATACTGATTAGAAGATGCCTCTGCTTTCGACCTCTCGGACATCCTTTCGCTTCCATTGCCTTTGGGACACGTATTGCCTGCTTCCCCAGCCTCAGACAGTTCAAGGGTGATTACAGGAATTCTGATCTGCTCAGTGTTTGGAGGACTGGCCACCGCTGGGGTAGCTGGTTCAGCATCAGACCTTAAACCGGTCCTCTCTGTGCTAACCACCTTCAGGTGGAGGGAGTTTTCCAAGTCTGTCATGGAGTTCTGGGTACTGCTCATGGTGATGACAATTTTAATGGGTTCATGCAGACTCAGTGGGTCTCCAGGTTCAGAATTATCAATAAGAGTTACAGCTACCTCGCTATCTGAGCAGTTCACTTCTTGGCTCAAGGGCAGGTCCACCTGACAGGAAGTGTCCACGGGTTCCTCCGCAGGCTTGACCGTGATGGTGTTACACTGAGGGCAGCTGCTGCTCAGGCTGTCCTGAGGGGACCTGCTTTGCAACTTTTCCCTCATGGAGCCCTGAGGACAACCGGGAGGTTCTGGAATCAGGACTGAATTTTCACTCCCCCATGGCTGGAAAGAAACATCTGTTTCTAGTAAGTCATACTGAGACAAAGACAGGTGGGGCAATTTCTTCAAGGGTCCTTTATCCACTAAGCCGCCCTCAGATCTGTGGCGCAAAGGAGGCTGCCCCTTGCTCCCTCTTTCCTTTCCTTTTCCATTGATGAGAGTTTCCGTGGCAACTGGTTTCACGGGTGTTGCTGACTTGGGTGTGGTTTCTGGCATGCGCACTTGAGAAGCAGGTAAGCTTTCCATTTTGATACCAGGTGAGGTAGATGACTCCGGTGGTACGGGCTGGTCTTCTGACAGAATGACACCTGAAATAAACAACAAATGGCAACTTTATTAGCATCTGGAATAGACAAATAATGTCTCAGAGCAAGACCTAATAATAATAAAACTAAAAATAGCACCAGCCACAAATGTGATTGGATGCTCATTTTTTAAAATATCACTTCTCCTGTGAAATTGTTCCTGAAATGTCTATGTTTAAAATACTAATCGAGGCCAGGCAAAGTGGCTCACACCTATAATCCCAGAACTCTGGGAGGCTGAGGCAGGAGGATCACTTCTGGCCAGGAGTGTGAAGTGAAATAAGCCAAGCACAGAAAGACAAATCTTGCATGTTCTCACTCATATTTGGGAGCTAAGCATTAAAAACAATTCATCTCAGGGAGACGGAGAATAGAATTATGATTATCACAGGCTGGGAAGGGTAGTGGGGGCAGGGGTGCGGGCGGTGCAAAGTGGGGATGGTTAATGAGTGCAGACATATAGTTAGACAGAATGAATGATAATTGAGGGCACAACAAAGTGACTAAAATCAAACAGTAAGTTAGGGTGTATTTTAAAATAACTAAAAGAGTGGAACTGGAGTGTTCCTAACACAAAGAATTGTTAAATGCCCGAGGTGATGGATACCTAAATTACCTGATTTGATTAATTCACATTGTATGTCTGTATCAAAATATCACATGTACCCCATAAAGATATACAACTATTATGTCTTATAATAATTAAAAATAAAAAATTAATTAAAGAAACAAAATGAAAATATAACTATGGAGCCTTGGGTATAGTTCTTATTTTCAATTAATTCACTGGCATTCCGTTTTATTAAAAATATTTTTCGCTTCACTGAGGATAATGCTGTGATAAAATATTAAATGATGATAACATTTTACCTTTGAGATCTTCTACTGTTTCCTGTGCTGGCAACTCCTAAACAAATGAAGAAACAAAAATCAATGTATGACTCAGTTCATTGCACATTTCCAGGCAGTCAGCAGTCACTGATCAGGAGACACTGTTTTTCTTAAGCTTCTATAAAATGGGGAGCAGCAGTGGATACAAACATATACATACACACACACACACACACACACACACACACATACACACAGAGAAAGAGAGAGAAAGAGAGAGAGAGAGATTCAACCAAGACAACTGTGCTGTATCTAAGGAGGGTTTGCTAATCAAGAAAGTAAAAGGAGAAGGAATGAGGCACTTCTTACACTATAGTGAATAGAGCCCAACAAAGTCAATCTAGGAAAACGGTAACATACTGATTTTCCAAAGACAAGTGTGATTTCATGTGGCAAGCAGTAGAGAGGTGATGTCGATTCCAGGTGGAAGGCATTGCAAACACGATGACTTAAACGAATGACAGACAGGAGAAGCGAGAAGAAAGAAAGGTCTGCAGGGGGTTTCTCCGGCCAGTGTGGTTGGCCCAGCAGCGGTGGGCGGGTGGGAGCGGACGGCAGAGGAGGCCAGTGGGTGTGCTTTGAACCTGACCAGGCATTTATCTTATGGGTCCCAAGCGCACCTTTCAGGACATTTCCACACCCTGAGATGTGATATTCCACGAGCACAAGGACCAGTAATTATAGCTGGAAAACTACAATTGCTGAACACTCCCACTCCAGATGGGATCAACATTAAAACAACACGAAGAAAGTGAAACAGGAAAAAAGACTACTGACCGACGGCCCGGAAGAGTGCTGGGAGTTTATGCTTTGCCCTCTGGAGCTGCAGCGGAGGGGAGGCGTAGAGAGGTTTCCATGGCCCTCTTCCTTTTTGCCATTGTGAATCTGCCTATTATTGCTAACCCAACGTGAGACACACAAGAGCAGTGATATTATCAAATAGAAACATGACACTTTTGGTATTAATCCAAAAACATTTTTTTCCTAGAGTCCATTTTGTCATATTCCTTATATACTAATCTTATATTTACAAGAGTAATAAACATTACTTTAAAATTATAGGACATGCTTTTTGAAGGACCTATAAGAAATAATGCAAGAATGATAACAAGACAAGGATGTTTACTCTTACTCAATAATTACTTTTTGTTTTTTTGGAGACAGGGTCTTGCTCTGTTGACCAGGCTGGAGTGTGAGTGCAGTGGCGTTATCACAGCTCACTGCAACCTCAAACTTCTGGGCTCAAGCAATGCTCCTGCCTCAGCCTCCCAAGTAGCTGGGACTACAGGCACAAGCCACCATGCCCAGCTAATTTTTCTATTTTTTATAAAGACGAGGTCTCGCTATGTTACAGAAGCTAGTCTCAAACTGCTGGACTCAAGCGATCCTCCCACCTCAGCCTTCCAAAGTGCTGGAATTACAGGCGTGAGCCACCATGTCTGGCCAGTAATTACTCTTAGTATTTCAGTACTATGCAATGTATGACTTTTATATCAACAAACACAAATGATATTTGAGTTTAAAATATTCTGTCATGCTCTAAGAATTTAAATAAGATAGAAATACTGAAGTAAAATTTTTTGCAGCACTAAGCCTAAGGCAAATGAATTTTAGATCATGGTATAAGGCCTTACTGACAGCCAGTTAAACCATCTTGATTATCAATATCCGTTTTATGTGTAAGGACACGCTTAAATGTAAGAAAAGTGTACATATTTGTGTCTGCCTAGACTGCTGTTTTTATAAACTAATAAATGTGAAAAGTTATTTTAATCAAAATTAAAACATTTAAATTATGAACTGACACATTAATCGGAAATGTTACCTTGGGATTTTGTGATTAGTTATGTGTTCACTGTTAGCCTCTTTGTCTTTATTTGGCTTTTCTTTCTTTCTGGAGGGCTTCTGCTGAATTACTTCTCCTTTATCAAACATGAGGTGCAGGCGGTAACTGATCAATTTGATGACTGTGAAGAATATAGTCACTGAACTGCAGTAAAAAAATACAGTGATCGCAGTCGGAGGAAAAGCCTAAAGAAGAGTAAAGAAAGAAAAAAAATCATTTGATTTTAAGATTTTCTTCTTGTTTTAAATCTGGAAGCATTTTTGGACTACGTATTGAGCATAAATTGGGCAAGATTTCAAATTTTATTAGTTTTGTAAATTGTCCTGGTTACAATTCTTGAAGAGAAAGAGCTGCTTATCTTCTTATTTTATATTTTTTAAGTCTTTCTTCTTTCTCAAGTTCTGTAGTAGTTGCATTGATGACCAGCGTTTGATTTGCAGACAGGAACCCTCAGAATGAAGGATGTATGAGAGGGAACCTCCCATTTTCTATTAGCTCTTTTCTATGGCCTAATCCAGTGCATCTTCCTGGTATCTGGTTTTACAGGGCAGGGAAAGGCCTTTAACACGTTGTTTCTGTCAACAAAACACAAAAGGCCTTGGGACAACAAAAGGAAAAAGAAAGAAGGAAGGTTAGGATAGCCTCTCCCTCTACCCCCTCCCTGAGCTCCTGCTGCAATAACACCAGCAGGTCATGGGTTTCCCTAGAGTTGTGACCCACACAAGGTCCATAAAAACATACTGCTTCCAAAAGGAAGAGGGACATTTCCAGCAGTGACAAATGATCTTAGTATGCAGATTACAGTGAAGTTCAGCTCAATTCTGTCCAATCCTCTCAAGCAACCAAAAGAATCACTGGGACCCATGTAAGTGTCCCACTCAGTAGCATCCCCCACATACCTTCCTAATTCTCTCCCAGGACCATGGACCATCACAGCTTCTCTGGCCTTTCCTAAACTAAATTCTTACCCTTTGGGATGGAGTGCAGTCAAAAGGCCATACTCAAGGATCCAGAAGGCCACATGTGGCCCCAAGGCTGCAGGTTCCCCACCCCTGGCTATAGCTTGGAACCCCAGCTAGGCCTGCAGACAGCAGAGCCCAGCCCCCGTCTGCTCCTAAGAAGCTCTTGCACAACTTGCAATTGCCCCTTCCAAGTGTATGTCATCAAGGGAAGACCGTCCCTAAAACAGAATAGCCAAAGAAAAAGCACAACAAAGAAAGACGGAAATGATCACTAACAAGTAAAAGATGAAGTGAGGATTTTCACCATCACTAACCTGCTTTCACTTTATGGGAGGAAAAGTCTACAAATAAATGTAAAGTAATAGATAAGTGAATGAAAGAATGGTTAAATAAGATAATATTAGATAGATAGATAGATAATAAAGTCAGGTCCCCACCCGGCAGCAGCTAAGTTCTACATTTACACATGCACCTCCTGTTGTAAAGCTATGAAGACGCTCAAACAATATATAGACAAGTTGAAAAGAGAGAGAGAGAGAGATAGGAGGCTACTAAATAGCCCCTATCACATTTTCTTAACTATTTGGGGTTTAAAAAATTTAGACTAAAGCTAGAATTAGCTTGAAGAAACTAATAGAAGAAACTGTACATGCCCATGAAAATAAATTAGAATGCTGTTATATACAAATTATATTCAAAAGTTGTTTAAATTTTAATGTAACTAGGGCTTCATAGTACTCCAGTAAGCAGGGGGAGCAGAGAGTCAGTGCCCACTAAATATTCCACCTGCTCCTCTACATTTCCCAGCCTCTCTTGCAGCTAGGCTGGGACCATGTGACTGCTTTTGGCCAATGGCCTACAAGCAGAAATGCTGAGCCTACAAAATTACAAGCTAGGTTCCTCCTGTATCCCACTCTTCTCCTCTTTATTTGGTGACCTCAGAGGCCACATATTCCAGAGGATACATCTGTAAGATGATGAAGCTTCCTTTAGCCTGGGTACCTGAGTGACTCTGTAGAGCAAGGGTCTTACAGACCCAAGATGGGCCTGTAATGAGTAAGAAAATAAACTACAATTCATTAAACCACTGAGATTTAGGGTTTTGCTTGCTGTAGAAGCTAGCATGGCTTAACCTAATAATATGGGGGTTCCATTTCCATGGGGAAGCTTCCATTCAAATTAGATTAGAGATAAGTTGAGAAAACTCTAAGGTACTGGGAAAAGAATGCTAGGGAAGAAAGGTGAGATATAAAAGATTATATATGGCTCTTGGGAAAATTCATTTGGAAAAAAAAATGGCATGCCACAACAAAAAGGGATATTACTTTTCAATTTATCTTCATAAATTTGGACCACTGTATAAGCTTGGTAATACTGAAATTAAGACAAGGCAAGTAGCTAGAATTTGAAATTAACATGAGAATTAGTATCTCGGTTGTAATCCAGGAATTGCTGGATCGCATGTAATTCTATGTTTAATTTTTTGAGGGACCACCCCACTGCTTTCCATAGCAGCTGCACCATAACATGCCGCTCTGGTTTCTAACTACAGGCCAGTGGGTTACTGCATCCCATCTCTGGAATGGCCTGGAGAGATTAAAAATCTGTCTGGGTGAGGACTAGCTATACACGATGTCTACGTCTAATAGAACAAACCACTTGAGAGGGTTTCCGTGTGCAGACATAAAGGACACTCTTGGGGTTTCAAACTTTACTGGTGCATACTTCATAAGGGTACTTCATCAATCTACTTTCACAAACTAATTTTGAAGAAGACTTCTAGAAACGATTGTTTTCATTTTGTAAACGAAGAAGTTGAAGCATAAAGTGGGTCACACTACACAGCTGATGAGTACACAGAACTTCCTTTTATCCGGAAGTTACTTCCCTAGCAACTTCAACAATCTGAGAGAGAACCAGGGACTTAGAAGAAATTAATAAATACAAAGTGACCTTTCTGGGCAGTCAGAACACATCACTGTTAGAGGGAAACAATTCCCCACTCCTTGGTTTCCAGGAGAGGGGTTATTCCCTCTATACAGCTGGCCTTCCTGCGCCTCTGACTCACTCCTCCCTTGGCGACTTCTGATGGTGATATGGGGAGCAGGAACGGGGCGCGTCTTCCCCATGCCTTGCCCTTCTTCCTTCTCCGGAGATGGGAGGACCGAGGAGGTGTGTCTGGGTGGCTGCTCCACGCTGCAAGGTCTCCAGCATTAGGCCGCAAGTCAGAGGCCTTCCGCACTGCCCCTGACCAAGTGGGTGAGTCTCTATGACTCTGGGCTCACAGTTAGGAAGTCCACCTCCCTGCAGATAAAAGTCACATTCCCAAATGTCAGCTTCATTCACAATAACGGTGATATTGTGAATTCCATCGGTTTGACTCTTTTTTTATCCTGAGAAAAAGAAGGTGCTATTTATTGGGTCACCAAGTCTATGCATAAAGTTCATAAACTTGACTGCAAGGGGAGCCTCTCAGAGTTTTTTTGGATGCTTTGTGCTCTTGATCTTGGCATAACTCACTTATGTGGCACATAACAAGCCTAATAAACTTGCTTTCCCAGCCCACGGCAGACATTAGAAGGTGGAGTGAGGAATGAATAGTAGGCACAATAATGTAACAAGACATAAGAAGTGATGCTGAAATCGTGGGAAAAGTAAAACTAGAAAAAGAAAACCCATCCATAAAAAAGCAAAGGCACTTCTATGATAATTTTCTGAGATACGAACATGCCTCAGTTATGTCTGAGGCTATCACTACAAAAGCAAAATAAGATATCTATAAGTACAAAGAAAATGGTCTATGATATTCGATACACTGTTAGAGAAGGCAGGGAAATTTAAAACTATTCTATCAATATGATTAAAATAAATTGAGCTTTCCTGTCTAAAGGTTAAGTTTCAAGTTATTTGGAAAATATTTTTACTCAGAATATGTGGCCTAATAAATAAGGCATTAATCTGCCAAACATAACACACTCATTCCTGACATTTGTATGCTTGTCTAAGAGTGCTGAGTCACGCTGCCATGTGCCAGAGTTATTTCCTCTGGCTGTGGGGAGCTGCTCAGCCTGGGTATTCATTCATCCGGGGGTAGATGTGGGCTTTAGAACCTCCTACTTCAAGTTTCTGGAAGCCTGACAACTTCTATGACTTTTTAGAAAACCATAGATTATTCTAAAAAAGGTGAGATGCAGACTCAGCCATCTGAGTTGGCTTTTCTGCTTCAGAGATAAGACAGATCCTACTTTGTTTATTCGTTTTGTCAAATTAAGAGAGCAGCTTTGTCCATCTGGTCATCCATTTCCCATTCATTCATTCAACAGACAAATGCTGAGTATCTTGTCTGTGCCACTCAAGTAGCAATCTTGGGTCTTATCTAAGTAAACTGTAATTCCTTGGGGGGTTGGGAACAGGTGTGTACACCAAAAAATCAGGCCACATGACAGAGAAGGGCTATCATTTCCCTGCATTTATATATGTGAAGGAATTTATAAGTTTTCAGATCCAAATAACAGTTCATTACATATTTAATGAATTTCCTTTATGAACAAATAAATTAAACAAATTCAGTATTTTTTCATCATATCTAGGACTTGTTATATGCTGAGAACTGGCATGAGCCCAGCAGAAGTTTGGATCCCAGGAATACAGGCCAAGAACCTCCAGAGGCAGACATGTACAGAGCGTATCCTGACATATATGAACTTACCCCACAAGTTACAGACAGGGAGGCCTTAATACAGCACCCCTTAAAGTAGGCCACCCTTGCAAATACTCATTTAAAAATGATGAGGTGGACGGAATCAAGAAATTTGAGTCATTCTCAAAATTTACCTCTATTTGTACTTCTATCTTGCAAAGTAAGATGAACAAAAAAGTAGAATAACACTTTTTCTTAGTCCTGCTACTTTCTTTGGCTCTGCTGTTTATTTGTACTAAATCTGCTGTGATAGCATGCTACCTGACTAGAAAAAAAATTAAATCTGCTTTGATTTCTTTGAGCTCCTGGACCTCTTTCTTGGTGTGCAGCTTTGATACGGGAGATTCTGGACAGAAAGGTGGCAGGTAATGTTTGGGCCATCAGAATAGTGCTATGGGATATGCTATAAGATGAAAAACCAGACAAAAGTTGGAGAGTTAAATAAGACTGTACCAGCAAAGTCATTAAAACAAGAATCTTGGTAGGCTTACTTGTTTTGAAAATTAGTTTAAAAGCTAGCACC